CGAAGTGACCACCACTTTCGTCCAGTCATCTTATGACTATCCTCTTCACCAACCGGTTACATCAGAAGCAACCAATTCTGAAGAATCGAGAACTGTTGGCTTCACGTCATTCATGACAGATGCTGTCATCAGCAACCCTGGAGATCCAGCATCATCGCGGAACATAGTAGTCCTAAGAGACACTGGGGCTTCTCAGTCACTTTTGCTGAGAGACTCATTGAACATTGCACCAGAAACCAACACCGGTGATGTCACCATCATCCAAGGAGTGGGAGCTAAACCAACAGTAGTTCCACAACATAAGTTCAACCTGAGACATCAGCTCATCCAAGGTGATGTCATCCTTGGGGTGATTGACTCCATACCTGTCCCAGGAGTACACTTGCTCCTAGGTAACGACTTAGCGGGAAGCAAAGTCCACCCCCAGGAAGTTCAGAACCCGTTCTCTACAGACCCCGACGGTGAAAATGAACTGTTCTTTTGGCCGAGAATGCGCAACGATGTCACCCGTTAGTGCAGACATTGTAAGAACTGTCAGTTGGTTGGGAATCCCAATCAAAATATTCCCAAGGCCGATGAAACCGATGCCTGTGCTAGACGAAGCATTTAACAAGATTACCAAGGACTGCATCATCGACTTCCCAGACCGGATAAAGAAACAACTGGTTTATCATGTAAACTCACTAACTCTTTCTCCACAGTTAAGTTGATGTTACCTATAAGTATATCTAGTAAATTTGATGATGCTACTCTTAAGGGGATATGCGTGGAAAAAAATCACAAAATTTCTTGTTTTCAGTCATGATGGGTTTCTTGCACTTTTGGATACTTTGTCCATTTTTGTATAAAGAAAATAATAACTTAAAAGAGAAAAAAATATTTTATGTGTTTGAATTACGATTTTTATGACCCTATTAATTAAAAAATAATCAATTTTTCCCAATCTTACAAGCTCTCTATGAAAAGGTTTATATCTGTCATTATATTGTATTTGACATCATTGGAAAGCTGGATTTCTCATGTATTTAATAAACTTAATTTCCTACATCTCGGAAACACCCAACGCTTACAATCGGCTTTGCAGTTTACACAGATATGGTACTTTCCTGACCTAGTTTTCGTTACTTTTGGCGGTTTTTCTCAGTTTGCAGGTTTTTAACACTAAAAAGCCTACTACTTTTTTATTTATTAAACAATGCCAACCATATTTTCAGTAAATGTTCTTGATGCAAAAATACAACTTTTGTCACGAGGGAATTGCGATTGCTTTCATAGAAAAAAAGTATTTGGTAATTAATTTGCACATTTTGAAACTTTTGAATACTAAAAAGGGTAAGATTTTTTAGACATTGTAAAATTTTTACTAGTAATTATTTCAAATAGTTGTCGTGACAAAAGTTTTAATATATACTGAAATATAAGCAGTTTAAATTTGATTGCTATAGGTGCATAAATATAAAAGCCTTAGTATTTTTAAAAGTACCGAAAAATTCAAAATGGCGGAGGTTTTTTGGGTTTCCTTGACAACCAAAATTGTTTTCGACCCGTTTTTTTGCTGTTTAATACTTACTTTTATATGCCAAATATGATAAAAGTATTCAAAAGGCTTTAGATCTTAAACTGAAAAAAATAGAAAAAAACATAGCATACCCCCTTAACAAGTTAAAGTCCCCCTAAATTGTTAAATTCCCCATTTTTGACCCAGTTAGACCATCTTGAACATTTATCTTCTGATGAGAATCAGAAATCATCACAGGTAGTTAAAACTTTACCCTCCATTCTTATGGATGGCTGGTTATTATAGACGTTTTTGTAAAAAACTTTTCAGCTGTTGCCGCCATTGAAAAAGAAGCATTAGCTTTAGTCCTGTCCTTACAGCATTTTGAGGTTTATGTCACTTCCTCAGTAAACCCAGTCATGGTATTTTCTGACCATGATCCTCTTAAGTTCACTACTAAGTTGGGGCAGAATAACAACAGAATTTTAAGATGGTGTTTATTTTTCCAAAACTTTAATCTGGTTATTTCCCATATTAGAGGAAATGATAACATTGTAGCTGACTGTTTGTCAAGAATGTAAAACAAGTTTTGGTGTTCACATTGATCTTGTTAAACTTTTTTGGTTAGTTATAACCATTTTGCAAATGTTATGTTTGACTAAACGGTAGCCTAGTGGCTGGAGTTCCAAGCTTTCAATCAGTTCAGAATTGTACGTTTTTTTCAAAACTGATTACTTGTTGAAAATGCCTGTTATTTTCAAATGAACCTTATTTAAAGGTGGTTTTGTATCATGTGCATTGAGTTGTTATAAAATGTATCACATTATTCAGTTGATGTTGTAGTGGGACGTATAAATAAAGGAATTAAGTTGTAAGTTTCCCACATGTTATATCCAGATGGATATGTTTTATTATCCTTGCATAAGGAATTTTGATGTATTATTATTTTGGGAAGGATTGTTTCCCTTTGGTAAATTGTAAAAAGGTGAATTGTTTCCCTTTAATTTTTAAGGATGTTTTTTCCTGATATAGAAATTTTGTTAATTACTATAATTGGACATTTTTTAATGTCAGATTTGTTCCATATAGTGATTGCCATTTTTGTAAAACAAAAATGCCTCTCTAAAAGGGAGGGGATGTGACCTACTTAGGTCTTTTTGCTTTTTTTATATTTAGTCTCCTGAGTTATGTATTTGCCCTTGGGAGAACTGTTAGTTCACCGGTTCATATCGGTCAACTGAACTCTGTCACATCAGGTGATTGTATTTTTAATCCCTGGCAGATCCTCAACCAATGGTCTTGCGACCGTGAGGATCCTTGACAGATCCTCAACCAATAGTCGTAAGACTTTTGAGTTATTTCCCCTTAATCTGAGTTGTATTTAATCTCGGGTTTTTTCATGTCTAAGGGCAGCCAGATTGACCTTTGGACCAGGAGAGTTGTGCCGGTGGTTATGGGCGCCACTTTTCAGTATTGTAATTTTGTGACATGTTTATCACCTTTGTATAAGGTATAGTGTGGCAAGTTGTAGTATTTCAACTATTTTGTTCTGGTGTATTATTGCACCTTTTTGATTACTTCGGTGATAGTTTGATCCTTTATTTGGATTTCTATTGTTGTAGAGGCAATACGTCTCTTCTTGGTTTCTTGTGGTAATTAAGATGCCATTTAGTTGTGTGAAGTAATGATCTTTATTGGTGTATAATATACTAAGCCACAGCTGTGATATATTGTGATTTTCTCAAACTGTAAGTTGGAGTTTTTGAGTTTATTTATTGTACTCTTAGAGTCTGTACATTTTGAACTTACCTAGTGCCATAATCTTGTACATTTATTAAAAAGGTATTGATAGTTTAAGTCGTGTTGAGTCTCTTCGATTTGTCGTGTTTTACCCCTAGACAGCATTAACGAGCTCACGGCAAGTTGTTGGGATTCCATTAGAGTGACTTCTATCGGTACCATACCAAACGAACCTGGGGTGTCCGCTCCCTCCGCGGCTGTCGGAGAGCGGTCCATAACACTCGTGTTAATTAATAAAGAAGTTCTATATTGTTGTCTCGTGTTAATTAATAAAGAAGCTCTATATAGTTGTCTCGTGTTAATTAATAAAGAAGTTCTATATAGTTGTCTCGTGTTAATTAATAAAGAAGTTCTATATAGTTGTCTCGTGTTAATTAATAAAGAAGTTCTATCTAGTTGTCTCGTGTTAATTAATAAAGAAGTTCTATCTAGTTGTCTCGTGTTAATTAATAAACAAGTTCTATATAGTTGTCTCGTGTTAATTTTAAAAAAATAAAAAAAAGTTCTATATAGTTGTCTCGTGTTAATTAATAAACAAGTTCTATATAGTTGTCTCGTGTTAATTAATAAAGAAGTTCTATAAAGTTGTCTCGTGTTAAATAATAAAGAAGCTCTATATAGTTGTCTTCAACATGTTAGGTAGGTCAAAGTCTGCTATAATTTTACACGGTCGTCTCTTGTCAGGCCGAACACGACCCCTCACAGCAGACCTAACAATCATCTAGTAAACATAGGCCTTTGTGGTAAAATTTCTTTTTGCGCATTTTTCAGCGCTTTAATCAATGCTTTAATCAATGATTTAATCAACTCTTTAATCAACGATTTAATCAACGCTATAATCAACGCTAATATCAATGCTTTGATCAACGCTTTAATCAACGCTTTAGTGCCCAAAAGAGACGCCATGTTGCGACGACTATACGGAACGCGAATGGTACAGTTTGCATGAAACCTCAAAACCACTGCGGAGGTCGAACAATTAACGGAACCCAGATTCTGAACTATGCGCGGGAGAACTTGGCAAAACCGCAACCGGCTGTCAAGGCGCAGCTTATCCGAAGTTTATATTTTAGAGATTACAGAAGCTTTAAAGGGAGAGGTGTTATAATAAATAACATAAATTAGAAACCTGCTAACAAACACAGATAGTTGTATTTTGGTATATAGAGATGTATTGATTATTGAAACAACAAAAGGAATCTATATTATGGAATACAATATTATGGAATACATTGTCACGCGGATTGATTAAATTTTGAAAGTGGATTGCTCAATACTTAATTATCGCGATAAGAATATTTTATTAAACGATTGTAAACACAACTGGCCTCTAGTATAAAGATAAACGATATTTCCATATAAAATATGATTTTTGTTGAAATTACTTCCTTCTATATAATGATTAAATTTGCTGTCTTCTAATTTTAGACCATTTTGCTGTCTTTGTTACACCCTTTTCTCATATTCTTCTAAAATGTTTTTAAAACCTATTTTAATTATGTCGTTATTTCAGTTGATGCCTTGTGTGCTGTTTTCGCTCACTCGTCTTCACGCTTTTCATTTAATGGAAGACATATAATTGGTCTGAACACGAAAAACAATTTTGAGCAACATCCGTGCAACGTTAATTTTTGCATTGGCTAAAAAAACAGGCCTGTGTATATTCTACATTGTACATAAAAGAGCAATGCATTAAATTAAAATGGAAGTGTATGCATTAATGTTAGCATCTGAAAATGGACACCACCAGAAGGTAGATGATCAAATTAAATCAGGAGCAGACATTAAATATGTAAGACAAGATGGAAATAATGCCTTAATGATTGCGTCTCAAAATGGACACGACAAGGTGGTAGATATTCTTATTATAGCAGGAGCAGACATAAACTATGTAAAACAAGATGGATATAAAGCCTTAATGATTGCATCTCTAAATGGACAAGACAAGATGGTAGATATTCTTATTAAAGTAGGAGCAGACATAAACTATGTAAAACAAAATGGATGGAATGCCTTAATGATTGCGTCTCAAAATGGACACGACAAGGTGGTAGATATTCTAATTAAAGCAGGAGCAGACATAAATCATGTGGAAGATGATGGATGGAATGCCTTAATGATTGCATCTCTAAATGGACACGACAAGGTGGTAGATATTCTTATTATAGCAGGAGCAGACATAAATCATGTGGAAGATGATGGATGGAATGCCTTAATGATTGCATCTCAAAATGGACACGACAAGGTGGTAGATATTCTTATTAAAGTAGGAGCAGACATAAACTATGTAAAACAAAATGGACGTAATGCCTTAATGATTGCATCTCGAAATGGACACGACAAGGTGGTAGATATTCTTATTAAAGCAGGAGCAGACATAAACTATGTAAAACAAGATGGATATAAAGCCTTAATGATTGCATCTCTAAATGGACAAGACAAGATGGTAGATATTCTTATTAAAGCAGGAGCAGACATAAACTATGTAAAACAAAATGGACGTAATGCCTTAATGATTGCATCTCAAAATGGACACGACAAGGTGGTAGATATTCTTATTAAAGAAGGAGCAGACATAAATCATGTGGAAGATGATGGATATAATGCCTTAATGATTGCATCTCAAAATGAACACGACAAGATGGTAGATATTCTTATTAAAGAAGGAGCAGACATAAATCATGTGGAAGATGATGGATATAATGCCTTTATGATTGCATCTCGAAATGGACACGACAAGGTGGTAGATATTCTAATTAAAGCAGGAGCAGAAATAAACTATTTAAAACAAGATGGATATAATGCCTTAATGATTGCATCTCAGAATGGACACGACAAGGTCATAGATATTCTAATTAAAGCAGGAGCAGAAATAAACTATGTAAAACAAGATGGATATAATGCCTTTATGATTGCTTCTGAAAATGGACACGACAAGGTGGTAGATATTCTTATTAAATCAGGAGCAGAAATAAACTATGTAAAACAAAATGGATATAATGCCTTAATGATTGCATCTCTAAATGGACACGACAAGGTGGTAGATATTCTAACTAAAACAGGAGCAGAAATAAACTATGTAAAACAAAATGGATATAATGCCTTAATGATTGCATCTCAAAATGGACACGACAAGGTGGTAGATATTCTTATTAAAGCAGGAGCAGACATAAACTATGTAAAACAAGATAGATATAATGCCTTAATGATTGCTTCTGAAAATGGACACGACAAGGTGGTAGATATTCTTATTAAATCAGGAGCAGAAATAAATTATGTAAAACAAAATGGATATAATGCCTTAATGATTGCATCTCTAAAAGGACACGACAAGGTGGTAGATATTCTAACTAAAACAGGAGCAGAAATAAACTATGTAAAACAAAATGGATATAATGCCTTAATGGTTGCATCTCACAATGGACTCGACAAGGTGGTAGATATTCTTATTAAAGCAGGAGCAGACATAAACTATGTAAAACAAGATGGATATAATGCCTTAATGATTGCATCTCTAAATGGACACGACAAGGTTGTAGATATTCTTATTAAAGCAGGAGCAGACATAAACTATGTAAAACAAGATGGATATAATGCCTTAATGATTGCTTCTGAAAATGGACACGACAAGGTGGTAGATATTCTTATTAAATCAGGAGCAGAAATAAACTATGCAAAACAAAATGGATATAATGCCTCAATGATTGCATCTCTAAAAGGACACGACAAGGTGGTAGATATTCTAACTAAAACAGGAGCAGAAATAAACTATGTAAAACAAAATGGATGGAATGCCTTAATGGTTGCATCTCACAATGGACACGACAAGGTGGTAGATATTCTTATTAAAGCAAGAGCAGACATTAATCACGTGGAAGATGATGGACATAATGCCTTAATGATTGCATCTCACAATGGACACGACAAGGTGGTAGATATTCTTATTAAAGCAGGAGCAGAAATAATCTATGTAAAACAAAACGGATACAATGCCTTAATGATTGCATCTCTAAAAGGACACGACAAGGTGGTAGATATTCATATTAAAGCAGGAGCAGATATAAACTATGTAAAACAAGATGGATATAATGCCTTAATGATTGCATCTCTAAATGGACACGACATGGTGGTAGATATTCTTATTAAAGCAGGAGCAGACATAAACTATGTAAAACAAGATGGATATAATGCCTTAATGATTGCTTCTGAAAATGGACACGACAAGGTGGTAGATATTCTTATTAAATCAGGAGCAGAAATAAACTATGTAAAACAAAATGGATATAATGCCTTAATGATTGCATCTCTACATGGACACGACAAGGTGGTAGATATTCTTTTTAAAGCAAGAGCAGAAATAAACTATGTAAATCAAGATGGATATAATGCCTTAATTATTGCATCTCAAAATGGACACGACAAAGTGGTAGATAATATAATAAACGGTGGAGCAGACATAACTTATGAAGCGGAAATAGCTAAAGACACTTCATTTTTATGTGATCGAAAAAATGATTCTGAAGATTGCCTCATTACGTTTAGCTTAACAACGACTCTATTGTTGGAATTAATTGATGCATGTTTTCTTGCATTTGAAAATAAGCACAAACATGTTATTGATATGTTATCTTCAATGAACTTTGAAATTTTTGATAAAACAACATCAACAAAAATGTTTTATTTTTTAATATCTATATTTAAAAAAGGTATTTATAATTCATCAATATTATATATATATATATATATATATATATATATATATATATATATTTATATATATATATATATATATATATATATATATATATATATATATATATATATATATATATATATATATATATATATATATATATATATATATATACATATATATATTCAAATTGTTTTGAATTTTCTGGGCAAAGTTCCTCAGCCACCTCTAACACACTTTTTTTCCGTGGACAAAAAGATCTCCGCGGGTCGGTTGAGAAGATCTTGCGGGCCGTAGTTTGTAGACCCCTGATTTCGAGTATTAAGATAAATTACATACAATGATATTTTCTAGACATGTATATTAAGCTAATTCAATTTAACACGATGATCCATTGGCGTTTGCTATGTGCATCATACTGTATGTTTTATCGGTTTGTTTCCAATTCGCATTGCATTGCATAAAAACAAATTGGATAGAACATCATCTTAGAACGTTGAAATAATTTAGAATTAGTACATTATAAATATTAAGTTTGAAAGGTTCCATGACAAATGATCTCAGGACAAATGATCTCAGACAAAATATCTCAGACAAAATATCTCACAGCGAAATTTTAATAATATGTACGATGAACTTTTTAATTTGACTGTTAATATGGTTTTGTTTACTGTTTACGCAAAAAAAATGTGAATAAAATGAATTTGTTAAACCTAACAAACCATCAAATATTTATTAAACTTTGTAGAAGCATTTGATTCGAAAAAGTAAAAATTATAAAACACACTTACTCCTTTAGCCTGAAAGGTATAATAGATGATAATGTAAAAAACAAATAAAGTAACAGTAGCTATACAACATTAAGGTTCAAAGCACGCGAAATATGTTTTAAAAATGTTAATGGCTCTTCAGGTTTGTAACGGTAAACTATTGTTTTTATTACATCATCAACACAAACATAACGTTTACCTTTCTTTGCTGGCAGGTACATTAATATGATCACACCTCTCCAATACTATGTGATCATTTATTGTGTGAACTGTTGCTCGACATGTCCTAATTTCACATTTACAAATCTCTTTGCCTGCTTATGGCAAACATAAATTCACCAGAAACGAATGTCCTAAAACCTAAAACTAGGTAACGAAAGAGGCAATAACTGAGTAATCACTACTAATACTGCTTTGTTTGATGCACACTACGACAAACTTGCTCCGCGATGACGGCTGTCGTTTAAATAAGCATTTGCCACCTGATCACTAAGGTGTGACCGACGCATAACTATTGACTTTAGATGCTAGTTGTATTGTCCACGGAGGGCGGATGTCTTTCCAATAAGGCCTGTCTCTGTCATCAAAGCGGGCGGCCACCTTGACACGAAGATGTGCCTTTAGTGTTATTTCTTCCCTTTGATCTAGTTTCGTCCACTTAACAAGGGAGAATTGTCTCATGATTGGCAAGCCCACCGTTGCTGTCTATCGAAAAAATTCTTTGATCTTCATACACTATATTACTAATACTAATTTAAAATGTTTAGTACAATATGACACATTTATACGGCAATCATTTCTTTCAATTATTATATAGGCCTATAAACAATATTAAACATAGCAAACAAAACCATATGACAATCAATAAAAAAAAATCAGATCAACTAAAATCATCAACTACACTATTAAAATTTAGGTGTGAGATATTTTATGTGAGATACTTTGTCTGAGATAAATTGTCCGTGGTACCATTTGTCCTGATATATTTTGTCCTGGTATCTTTTGTCCGTGAGATCATTTGTCCTTGAGATCATTTGTCTTGAGATCATTTGTCCTGAGATCATTTGTCCGTGAGATATTTTGTCTGAGATATTTTGTCTGAGATCATTTGTCCTGTCACCGTGTGAAGACTTGTCATTATGTCTTGCCAAAACCAGATACTAAATCCCTGTTTTCACCCTTTACAATAATCTCCTTACAAACTTTTTCCAAAACATCTATCGTAAAATATATTTCATCCCCACCTTTAGGAGTATCGTTTACTGTAACCATTTCTTAAAATTGCCCATTGACTATCGCCTGAAATTAAACCTTACTGTTAAACTAACTGAAACTAAATCCCTCTCTTAACCCTAACTATATCCCTATCAATGGTGTTATATATTTTTCAATGCGTTTCACTTTAGCATCTGTTCCAATTAACCAAAACTCTTAACAAAAACTAACACTTATTCAGACATTAAATTTTAAATTAGCTAAATGCCTGCATTAATGTGTATCAACTTCTAGATTTGAATAATTAATTATAACGAATATGTACCCTTGGGATCAGTATACTAATGCATATCGTATTTTAATTAAATACACAGCACTAAAACAAGATGTACAAAACGACACCAAAAACGAACTGAGCGACTCAACCGTCAGTGTACAAAACGACGCAGATGTACGCAACTTTGAAAGGTAAGAAAATTGTGTAGCTTACAGAAACATGTCTAGACATTTGCAACAAAGAAGTGATACATTATAACTAACAAAAATAACATACGTCAATAGGCCTACATGTATTTTAATACTGACCGCATTATTCAATGTATAACTTCTCACATAGAAGGTACTAGACAAGTAAACACATAGGCCTACCGTGCTGTGAACTTTGTCAATAAATGTAACACTTCCCATTCACACCGTGATCACCCAGTTGATTCCCATTGTGACAAGCGAACTAATTGCGCAGAACATTACCCCGGTAACAGTTACCCTCTATTTTACCCATGCGCCGTATAATTAGTTAAAGTAGGATATTACTCAATCATGAGGATATTACATTAAGGATCATGATCGTACTATTCTAAATATGAAGGCTTTAGAACGATTTGTTACATTTAATTATTTGGACCATTTATGCAATTATCCACACCCTTGGTATCAAAGCATGTCAATGTATTGTTTTTATTTTCTTGAAACTTTTATTACTTCTCATTATGTCGATTTAAAAAAAAAAATACAACAAATAATACACATGTTGTATATATATATATATATATATATATATATATATATATATATATATATATATATATATATATATATATATATATATATATATATATATATTGTATAAAAACAGTTCCATCGATTGCTATGTAAAGATTGTTCTTCTCTCTCACAACAATCAGGTAGGAAGTTTTTATTTTTTTAATAATACATAAACACACAATATATTAAGTGTTAATAGTGTTTACGATTAATTTTCATGACTTTCGTGAAACGGAAATACCTACTCATGGGTTGACCTCCCATAAGCCAGGCAGGCCTCGACGTGGAAAACTGCAACTAGCTGGCATTTGTTGAAACAGTTTCACTAAGATATTGGTTTCAACACTACATGTTGGTCGCGTTTCATCCGTAGGTTCTCACCAGGCTTGTCTTCCCCACCCACCAGGCGTGGGATACCGTGTCCTACCACCTGGTACCCAGTTTGACCGTTGGAGGGGGGGGGGGGGGGTTAGGACCTTAAAAAGGTTAGGGACACAATGTTGCCTCCACGTACAACCCCGCAAATGCCGGGAAGGCGGTTTTTTCGGTCGGGTGCTTTTTACGTTACGGCGGGTGAGCTGAATCTATGGTCATACTTTCCACTCACCGCCGAATAGAGGGTACCAGTTGACCAGGCTAGCACACCTATAACGTAGGGGGATATCGAGCACGTGGTCTTGTCCTCCAAATTTATATTAATTATGATTTTATAATACTATATATCTAGATCTATATTAAATTTGAATAAGGCTATATTTTGTATTAAACAAAAACAACTCTACTTAAGCTCACACTGATTGCACAGTTAATAATCAGCTCAGCTGTTGTATTGTTTGAATTTATTTCGAATGGTTAGTAATTATAAAAAATTAAGGGCTCCATTTAAATTATTTAGTGTATTAAAGTAAATATATTGCAACTAAGACAATAGTGGCTCTTAGAATTCGTTAGTTAAGAGGTTTAAATGGAAAGAAAACCAGCAAGGAAAAATATTCAGGGTGGGAGAGAAAGAAATTGAAAGTCATTTCACATCGCCAACAAACATAATCCAAATGTGCCAAACTGAATACATACTATTCAAGCTGCACGACCTTAACTTCGACCTTAACCAGAGGTTAATGTGTTTGAATATACCCAAGTACAAAATATACAAGCAACCACATCGCATCATATGCAGAATCAAGTCGTCGAGACTCTATAATAAGATATTTTCTATAGACATTTTAGAAGAGTCCCATTTTGAAGACGATAATGGATACAAATCTGGAATATTCGAAATATCCTTTTTGTTTTGTGATAAACCCGTAACACCGGATGTAGTACGTGCATGACTTGAGTTTGACCCTTGTCAGCCAGGCCTCAAAGATAGTTATACAGATTTTCCCAAAAATGTAACTGGTCGGCACTTAAATGCCAGTTGGTACAAGAAAAAAAAACATACTAAGTAATACGACACTGGGTAGTACTAGAAAGTATTATAGATGCAGTTGTCTATTTGGAAAAATGAGGATTGGCGTTCAGCCATCGTGATTCCCAAGGTTTAGGAGACGCTACATTAAATGAAGTCAACTGTTGGAACTTATTAAACTCCTAAGAAAGTTTATTTGCTAAAACAACATTTCATATTCGGTGTCAGAAATGCAACATACTTAAGTCCGTGTAAGCAAAATGACTTAATAAAGTCAATATCAAACCAATTTTTAAAGAATAAATTAAAATAGCTAGATATTTCGCTGTGATTGTAGATTCAACTATCGACATTAGCAGAATGGATACATTTTCTTTTTCTGTCCGATATGTTACTGAACATGAAGACGTCATCGAAATATTTATTCAATTTTGTAAGCTTACTGAAGCTAACATAATTTCAAAACGCTTCTTTCAGCAGTTACAGATTTAGGTCTATCAATGACCATGTGATGTGGTCAGTCCTACTATAGAGCTAACACCATGTCTGTTGAGTTATCAGGCATGCATAAACGCGTTTACACACTTTTTTTGCTTATAATTTAAATGTAATTATCAAAGAGACTGTTTCATCTAATATTCAAAAACAGCATTTTTTTTTTAGTTCTGAAAAGTATTCGTATCTGAAGTCTACCTCGTCTTTCTATCTTGAAAGGGGAGCAATGTAACAGCATAAAACATTTTCATTAACACTAAAACGACTTAGTGATACAAGATGGGTTTCTAGAAAAACAGCAGTAGATTATATGCTGAAGAATTTACCAGCACTAATTCTTACATTGCGAAGAATAGTTGACAGCGAGGTTAACACTATACTTTTTAACAGACTGCCCAAGGGAATATAATGCTCGAGTTAATGGAGACGTTTGATAAGGCTTTTAACGTATCCATTTATTTACAGAAGAGTGGAATTGATGTTTTAACAGCTTTTCGATTAATTAAGATTTTTGAAAATGAGATAAGAAGCAGCAGAAATGAATTTGAATCAGAATTTGAGTAGATTGACAAGAGAAAAGTGATATTAGTACGCAGTGCAAGCAACACAGAGTATATAAACGGAAACGATTCTATGACGAAGGTGCAGACGATACGCAGATATTTGACTCTAAGAAAAAGTTCATTGTTCAAACCTGTTTTGTGTCGCTGGATACATTTGGAGCAATTAGCAGTGACGTACTCGGCTGTTGTTGAAAGTGTAAGGGTATGACCTACTTTGGTCTAGTAATGTTTTATTTTTAGTTTGACATTTGTTATAATACCATATATGGTCTGTGGTGCAATGATCGGTTTTTTTCCGCTGTCTTACTAAGAGAGTCTTAGACTCAGAAATTTTCCATCGAGAGATGATTGATTGTTTCAGACCAGATGACCACCCCAACCAATGGTCTTATGATTTGAAGGTGACCTTCCATGTTACCTAAGTCTATAAATAGATCGCCCACAGGTGTCTCGCGGCAGTCTATGGTCAGACGTCGTCGAGAGTTGATAAGCCCTGTGTGTTGCCGTGCAGTATTAAGTTGTTATATTACTTGTGATTAAGTAATTCTTTATGCTTATAGCAGTGTTATGTATACAGTGGTGATTTTCCTGAAGTGTTTAAAGCTGTGATAGTGTATCATACTATTTATTCCCACGAATTGTAAGTTGGGTTTTGATCATTCTGTATATCCATTTTATTCTTGTATAAATCTAGTGTTCTGCCACGACTTTGTACACTCATTACAAGTTATATGCAGATTAAAAGTTTTGTTGGTATCATTAGTTTCTCTAGTGTTTCCCCTAGACATCCATATCGAGTCCTAGCGAGCTAGTGTGTCAACTTTCTTTTATTTAGGCCTGTCGCCATCTGTGTGTAACCAGTTAAACGAATCCGGGAGCGTTCGCCATCTATCTGGCTGATAGATTGGTGTCCGTTACAAGGGAAGTAATGCAGGAATTCTTATTATTTAGCTAATGACACACCCTGTGTTTGTGGGTTTGTTGTAGAAACGTAAAAGCAGATATATATAAAACGTAAAAGGAGATATTTCTAGTTGAAATTATAATTTTATTTACAACATATATAAATTTATTGAGGTTGAAGCAATAAATAAGATCTCCAAAGTTGGAATAGTTCAGTACATCGAATTTCTTGAATAACACAGGACGACAACAAAATACATGGATGATCCACAAACGTAATGACGTAGTAAGTAGCTTAAATTCATCTATCGAGGCACACCGCTTAACTGATGCCATATAAGTACAATACACCCGAAGTACAGTCTGTTAACGCCCCCCCCCCATCGACCCTTATTAATAAATGACCTCTTTGCCAGAGCTCCCTTGAATAGCATGTATAGGGGGTGGAAGCAGGCGTTGTTCCTGAAATAGTAAAATAAACACAAATGCTGTACCTCTGTCCACCTCTGTCTACCTTTGGCGTTGTAATATTACTTTCTGTGTAAATTGCTAATTGAAAAGAATGCAAAGCTTCAAGCTTTCATTCCGATTACGTTTACCATGTCTTACTTGTTTATATTGTGACTGGAGGGTTTTCTTAACATTATTCTCTTGGATACACGTCTTTTTTTCTTCGGCTTTTTTACCTACATTACTTGTTTTCTCTATTTGCTTGATTGGTACAGAAACCAATTTAATAGTTGTGTAATTAATTTATCTTAGTCTTTGAGAATTATCCTTAATTTGATACTTATTATCTAGACTTCTATATACATCGTTGCAGTTCTACATATCCTCATGAGATCTAGATCTAGAATCCAAATAGATAAAATAAATTTTATAACTGTAGGCTGGAAAAATTGTATTGTATACATTTCATAGCGTACTTAGATCTAAATCAAATTTGACTGAAATAGTTCATTTCTTTTTATTCTAAACACGGCAGATGACGTCATTAGTTAATGTATAAACATTAGTGACGTAACTGTTTTATGCGTTCTTTTTCACAACTATAAACGCTTTTGCTGTTGCATAATTAAAAGTGCGCACATGGTCTTATATATATTAAGATACAGTATATTGAGAAAAATCGCACTTTCCTGTGGCACCGCCATTGCGAAATTAAAAAAAAAGATCAGTTTGTAGAACCCTTCCCTGGAGTGTTGTAATCAACACCCCAAAGTTTGATGGCGATCGGATGAATGGTGAGAAACCGCAATCGACTTAAATTTTTATATGCCGTATATTGAGTAAAATCAAACCGCGCCCTACGGGGGCGCCGCCCCTACGAATTTGAAAATGTTTTTTTTTGCGAAAAACCTTCCCAGGAGTATTCTCAACATCTTCCTAAAATTTCATGGCCATCGTGAGAACGGTGTCACTACAATTCACTTTTATTATTTTTATATACCTTATATTGAGAAAAATCGCAACCTCCCGTGGCGTCGCCCTTGCGAATTTGAATTTTTGTTTTCGCAGAAACCTCCCCAGGTATATTTACAACAACTTCCCAAAGTTTCACGGCTATGTAATTAGACGTGCAGTAATGCATAAAGGACAAACAGACAGACAGACATACATTGCTTTTTACATTTATCAATTTTGAAGCACGCCTATTTCGTTTTGTACAAAATTACGTTGTTTCTGATTCATTGTTAGCTTTTATTGTTTGTGTTATAACATTTTAGTGTATTTTATGTGCAGTATTTCAATGTGTTAATTTTGTGTCTTATTTTTAGCGCAATTTCCATTCTGGAGAATTGTGTTTATTAACCCGTCATTTCTGGATGTGTGTCCGCAGCTTTAAGTCGTATTTCCTCCTCAACGAAGCAATATCGAGGACTAGTTCCAAAAGCAATTATGTTAAGCAAGTTACGAGGATGAAAATAAGCCAAAAAAATTCCGGGTTTCGTTCATGGATTTCTCGGAAAAGCCAAAAAAAACTTTTTAAAAAATGCTGTTTTTGGCCCATATCTCTGCATACAGACCACTTAGCGACTTGAAACATTTACCAATCGATTCCTGCCTAATTTAGAACAATATTGCCGAAGAAAGTTTTCAAAAATATCCTTTCGTTCGGTCACAAAATTTTTTTTTTAATTAATTAAAATTTGGACCAAATTGGTAGGCATGTTTATCCAACCACACCACACGCGTCATCAAGTTCAATAGCTGCGCCATCACGTTCGGTAGCTAGGCGCGCAATGGTTTTTAGTCATGTAACTCTATTGTAAATAAAACATAAGGACATTGCGCTTAAATGTCACTAGACTTTTTAATTAACTTGTTTTTTATTTTTGTTTATTCTTGTCGTTTTACGAGAAATATTACAATCCATAGAAAGTATTATATTCTGATTGTTTTATTCGGTGCTTATTTTTATCTTTGAAATAGTTTCGGCTATTGTTTTTTTTTTGTGTAGGCGAATGTCGAAGCTTGCATATTCTGAGGTGTCGGCTTTAATTTTGGCATTTATTAATATGCAGTTGTGTTGGGTTCAATGTTATCTAAGTTGTATTTGATGTTTGTATTACGTATGCTGATTTCCGCTTCCGTGACATTTTTTATAATCCCTAGAGAGTTGCTTGTGCTAGTGTGTTTAAATAATTTTTACTTTAGTAGTAATGTGTCAATTATTTCTTTATAGGTAAATTGTAAGTGTCGGATTTTAATCGCCAATTCCCTTGTTGCTTAATTAAGATTCTTACTTACTGTAGACTGATATTTTTGTGTGCAGTGTATCTAGTTTGTGGCTGTTGTTCTAAATCGCGTCCTCCAAATAGTACATTGTCGCGTTCCAAGCATCTCTTAACGGTGTGCAGTTTTGTCTTTAAACTTCAATTTGCTGATCTCCACAAGATTTCATTACAATTATCTGCCTTCGTTGTTTAATACCGTCATTGAATTGTGTCTGCCTATGTCGAAGTAATGATTACATTTAAAGCAGAATTCTCAAGGCATTCTTTCATTTTCTTGATGAGTTACCGCTACTTATGCCGCCCCTTATTATCTTTTAGTCAATGAGGTATTTTACCTGTGTCTTGTGTTATTAAAAAAGGTGTTTGATAATTATTCCCTAAGTAAACTGTCATGTTGATTGATGTGGTCGTATTTTCACAAAGATAGTGGGTACAATATAAAATAACGGAAACTGTGAGCAATCGTAGTGTTCTTTTATTTGCGGGCGTCTTTGGAACATTCCATCAGCTCACAGCTCTTGTAGATTCTTCTTGAGATTGACGTGGTGTACCTCACGTTGGCTTCGCCATATCTATACACACATTCAGTGGCGTAGGCAGGGGGGGGGGGGTTAGGGGGGGTTATAACCCCCCATAGACCCCTCGGTATATATATATAAAGTATGAGGGGGGGTGGGTGTAAATCGAAAGTTTGAGGGGGGGTGCAAATCATAACTTTGAGGGGAGGGGGGTGCAAATCGAAAGTTTTAGGGGGAGGGGGGGGGGTGCAAATCACAAAAGTTTGAGGGGGGGTGCAAGTCGAAAGTTTGTCCGCGGGTAAAATTTTGAACCCACCCCCCCCCCCTCATGAGACGATCCTGGCTACGCCACTGCACTCATTAAAGTTTATACCCAGGCATTAAACCGTGGAGACATTAGCTACCGACATGGTTGTGGGTTGGGAACATATCCCTTTGAGCCCGACACGGATAACCGGCTTTAACACTAGGCATGTATATCCATATCCAAAAAGCCGGTTTTCCGGCCCGATTATCTAGCGTCATAGTCCTAGTGGCTGGTATACCGTCTTATTAAATATAATTAGCAGTGTACTGAACAAAACGGCGCATATGTCTTTGATTCTAAAAATAGATTTTGGGGAAAGTTGAAAGTGAAAGTGTTTGCATTTCGTAAAAATACATTGTCAACAAAAAAGTCGGTTATATTGGTCCTAGGACCTTTGACCACAGGTGCTTTGACCATAGGGGGTTTGACCATAGGGGGTTTGACCACAGCGGAGCTTTGACCATAGGGGCTTTGACCATAGGGGGTTTGACCACAGCGGGGCTTTGATCATAGCGGTGCTTTGACCATAGGGGGTTTGATCATAGGGGGTTTGACCATAGGGGGTTTGACCACGGGTGTTTTCTCAGCAGAGGGTCTTTGATCACAGGTGGTCTATCAACGGGTGTTTGATCACAATCGCTGCGTCCGGCTTTGATCATAGGTGTTTTGTCCACATAGGGTCTTTGATCTCAGGTGGTTTGTCCAATGCTGTCCATGTATTTTAAGGATTTATTTTAAAAGTTGCTAAATTATATTTTAAATTTCGACATGATGTAATAATATGTTAAATCATCATGTATAAATACAAGTCATCTAAACTACTCTATGTCAAAACCATGGACATATGGTCAAACAGATATACTGACATATTTGCGTGCTATAGCACATCTGTCATTTAGTTAACCATTTTATGTATTACATCTTTGACTATATCGTTGGCAAGTTTTGTATCATTTTTTATCCTTTATGAATGCTATGTATTTTTAAGTACATCTACATTATTTATTTGTGAAACTTGTTATATGTAGCATTATTTGTGTTTCATTTATATTTAACATAAATCTATGAGGGCTAGCACCAGCCTTTATGTGGAGACTAAACTATAGTTCTTGGCTTTTTTTTAATACATGTTAATTTCTATTAACGTACTCTCAGGAAACATGTATAAAATCGTGTTAATTCTATCACACCTATGATCAAAGCCGGACACAGCGCTTGTGATCAAACACCAGTTTATAGACCACCTGTGATCAAAGACCCTCTGCTGAGAAAACACATGTGGTCAAACCCCCTATGGTCAAACCCCCTATGATCAAACCCCCTATGGTCAAAGCACCGCTATGGTCAAAGGCCCGCTGTGGTCAAACCTCCTATGGTCAAAGCCCCTATGGTCAAAGCTCCGCTGTGGTCAAACCCCCTATGGTCAAACCCCCTATGGTCAAAGCACCTGTGGTCAAAGGTCCGCGCACCGTTATATTATAGTATTTTATTATTTGATTATAATTATTATTATTATAATAGTAATAAATAGATGAGTTACTCTAGTTTTGTCATGTTTAGTAAGTAGTATAAAACAATTGTTGGTATATAAATATTTTATTAGTGCAAACTTTTGTTGTACAAATGTTTTTTTAAGCAATGCCACCGAACCGAAAAACTGTGCCACAGCCAGCGGCTGTGTTCGTTTTATATACATTGTTATGTTCATACATTGTAAAAAAACAAGAAAGAATTTTGAAATCTTGCTGAATCTCGTTTGATACTGAGCCTTGATACTAAATTTGGCTTGATTCTCTCAAACGGTTCAAAGTTATAGGCAAAGTTAGAAGCAGATAAGTGAAAATCGGTTTGAGCTTGGGAGATCAGGAAATGGGAGAAATTAGGTCATGGAGGCCAGGGCTCAAAGGGATATAACACGCAGTGTTTCAAAAAAATCGGATCACTTTGAAATATAATTTTCCCTAAATTAAATTCTATAATTGAGCTATTATATTTGTTAGGTAAGTTCAAGCAGAACGTTATATCTTAAAGGACCCAAGTTTACTTTATTACACAGCGTCGACTCGCATTATATGCCAGGCCTCAGTTCAATGCTGTACTTGTGTATCTGAGCGAGGATATACAAATGTGAGGCTATATTTTGTGTATTTTTCTCCAATCAAGCCACTGCAACTGCAAAGAAAAAGTTAAAGCTTGACTATGGGATCCAAAATTTCGCCGACACTTGCCCGAATGGGACAAATGCCCAAATGGGAAAAGATGCACGAATGCTATGAGCCGTTTGCCTGAAAAAAAGTAATATAATAAATTACATTCTGAAAAATGTGAATTAAACATTTTGATCATTTTAAGCATAACGGTAATACAAATCTAAGCAGAAGTTTGGTTACATAAATATATTTATATATGTAGTGAATGAGTAAAGGCGGGGTCAAAGTTTTTTATACTGTCCTGTTCGTCCCTGTTCAATCTTTGTACTCTGAGGTGTGTCAGTCCGATTTATACATGTTTTGTGTAAGGTTATATTAGATGTGTGACAATGTGTGTGATTGCCTCAGTTAAGTCCAGTTCTCCCACAATGGTAGTGTAGGTTAGTTCTGTACTGTTAGATAGCCACAGTATCTTAGTTTGTATAGGTTAGTTCTGTACTCTTAGCCACTTTATCTAAGTTTTTGTACTAGCTTATGTATTTATGTTTAAAATGGTTTGTGTTGTGTAGATAGTGTATATAGTATTAAAATATTTTATTATTAACGAGCAGTAGTTTCATTTACTTGTGTTTTTGTAACCCGTTTGTGGTTGTTTCGACTTATATGTTGCGTGATTCACTAGGTCACCAGTAAAGGCGTGTCCGTGTACATATAATTGATGGTCCCGTCCGTGATTTGAACTAGACTGGGTTTTTTTGTCAGTGTCTCTCTGTCTACACATCAAGTTAGGTTATTCTCGCTAGTGTGACCCGTAAACAATCCAGAGAATGGGCTGCATCTCTCGATAATTGGGCTGTTTCTATGGCAGTAACAGTTATACATGCATTAACGTTGCACATTTGCATAGCGTTATAAAAAAATAATTATGCTCGTGTTAATGTTCGAAAACGATTTGCTTTAAATATAGTACTTCATCTTGTTTAAGTAAATGAAATAGACATAGTAAAATTTAGCATTGTATTGTGAATAATATTAGTCATTTAATAACATCAATAATAAAATGCAATTTGTTTACTTCCAGACACCAAGCTATGATGAATTAAAAGAGTTTGTTTGTGATGTTATGTTAGAGCTTTCTAACATGAGAGACTTTAATGCTTTACATTTCTTCGTGTGTCAGAGATGTTTGAGGACAATTTATTCTACTCTGAATGCGGAGGATCATCAGAAGTTTTTCACACTACTTTTAGATCTTAACTATGCAGGTAATTTAGTTTTACAGCCTGCAGTCTAATTATAGTAAAAGCTGTGGTTTAGCTCACATTAAAAAGTTTATTCTGTTTGTTTTTAACAAGACTGGTAAATTGAAAAGCCGTATGCTATGGACCATCAAAACGCACATATAAAGGTTACGATCATGCTGCTACTTGTATGTTAAGTCACTGACTGTGTTGCTCAGTGGCGTAGCCAGGATCGTCTCATGGGGGGGGGGTTCAAATTTTTTCCAGCATTTTATATATATATATATATATATATATATATATATATATATATATATATATATATATATATATATATATATATATATATATATATATATATATATATATATATATGTGTGTATGTGTGTGTGTGTACATATGCATGTGTAAGTGCGTGCGTGTAAAGTATTGGTGGCTGGTGACAATAGAAACTCGTGGGTGCCACCGACTAACTTATCTTAGTATTAGCTATTGTTTTGTAACAAGTAACACATGTACACTATCGTAAAAAATTTATAAAAAACAAATTTCCATCATTTTCAGCAGTTTTCTCCAACTAAAAATTTCCTTGTCGGCCGCAAAATATTAGAGATTCTATTATGGGCGCTAATCTTAAACGATTTTCTTGAATTTGTTGACTTATGATAAATTTAAGGAGATTTTAATAAGTTATTTTTTTTTCTCCATCACCGATTTACGATTTTGGGAAAGTAAAATTGCTCTTTTATGATACTCACATTGCTGGTGCTCATTAAACTTGTCTGTTGCCTTTTTCCAGTTTGAAAATGAAATTTTTGATAGCTTATCCATAAGCTGACTACCTACACCACGATAATTTAAACTAATCAAAACACAATATTTGCAAAATGCGCCATCAAGTAATTTGGAATAAGTCAACCAGTTCCACCTAAGTAGCCACAAATATTGAAACTTTAAATTTCTTTGTCCGCTTGCTGGAAATTTTAAAAGTTCATCAGGACGCCAGATGTTTTCTAATAAATACAACCGTGTATCGTCTGTTATAACTCCTTTGATAAAATTGCCGATATCATTTGCGTAAAAAACAGTCGAAGGTGCTGAATTTATGGAAATTTCTTGATGTAATGTACTTTGAAAAGCAATAGTACCATCTTCATTTTTATCATTTTCAGTTTTACTTTTCTTTGTAAAGAAATCAGTTAATAAAGTAGTTTTTAATTTCCTTTTTCCATCCGCCATCATTAAAATGAATTTAAATTGCTTGAAGTAGTTAAAAGATACACATTAAAACACGACTATACGAAGAAGAAAGCAAATTATTATTGGTCTTCTATTCTGTCTAAATTGACTACTGTAGGTTCCTGGCTTTACATCTATATTTAACCAAATACGCAGTTTTTTTTATATAGCCCACCAACACAAAGTTTTGTGTCAACAATTGTGTGTCAAGCCCACGCCTTCCTGCCAGATGTGCATCCGGTAGTATTTTATAATTGATACGTACCAATATTCATCCCACCCTCACCCCCTTTTACACCCCTTAACTGATAACCTTGTTCAGCTTTCCCTTCGCCTATTGCGACCCTGAGTGTTTGTTGTTTAAGCACTGAATGATAGCGACACAAGTCCATCGTCGTCAATAGCTGTAACTTAACGTAAAGGATTGTCATTTTGAAGGTTCTACCCCCCCCCCTCCCCTCACCCCTGCCTACTCCTCCCTCTGCCATCTTTATCATTTTCAGTTTACTTATCTTTTTAAAAATTAAGTGAAATGAATTTCAAATGGTTTGAAGTAGTAAAAACATACACATTATAGAACCTCAATGCGAATAATAATCAATTCCTTTGTTTGTTTTTCATTTCTAGACGCTTTCTGATTGCACTACAATCATATTAGACAACAAAGGCCTACCCACGTAGCCCACCCCTCCCTTTCGACACTCCTTAACTGATCTAACCTTGGCCAACTTTCCCTTGGCCTACTGCGTTCCAGATTATTATACTTTACTTTAGCGCGATAATAAAATTCATAACTAATTCTACAGGCAATTCTCATCACAATGATATACATTGTTGTTCTAGAGGCTGCCAGGCTTAAGTGTTTAGTGTTTAAGCCCTAAATAATATTGACACAAGTCAATAGCTATAGCTTAACGTAAAAAAGTAGTCCTAACCCCCCCCCTGCCTACGCCACTGGTGTTGCTACTTGTATGTTAAGTCACTGACCGTATTGCTACTTGTATGTTAAGTCACTGACTGTGTTGCTACTTGTATGTTAAGTCACTGACTTTCTAGCAGACAGATTATTGTGTGGAAAAACATATAGCACTACTTGAATAGTACAAAAAACTAATGTTTTATTGATGACAGCAAATCTGAAGTTCAATTGTACGCCTATTATATGCGAAATTGCTGATGTAACGTTTTATTATCAAAATGGCCCCGTATGCTCGATCCGTCAAAACGCCAGTGACAAATGCACCCCGTCAATTAGGCTCACGACAAATAGACTTCTGTCATTAGGACTCCCGACAAAATGTCCCGTGTCAAAATGGTTCCTGTCTCGACAAAAATTCTTTAACCCTAACCCTAATATCTGCGCTCGCTTTTAAGCATTATTTATTCTCTGGTTTAAATAAAACATTCTCAAAGTGTTAAAATTAGTCGTATTTGCAATTAGGAGTTCAAATTATTTATGAATTTTTTTTGTTTCACGAAGAAGCTTTTTATTGAGGCATTTAAAAGTGGCCATATGACATGTTTGACTGGAACCAATATATCGGGGATAATTTTGTCGTTGGCCAAATTGTCTGGAGCAATTTAGTCGTAACCTTAACCACAACCAGAAACCGAAACTCAAACATAATTATGAACAGAAAAATACCCCTATTTCAATTTCTATCCCCATAATAATACCTATGATTATTCCTTATGCTATTGCTCTCGTCATCCCATCCCTATGTTAGACATACCCGTATCCGTATCTCTATTCCTATCCTATTTTTTTGCCTATTGCTATTCCTATCCTATTACCTTCACATGTAGTTATGCATAACCTTCTACTTGTATTTATGGTTATGCGTATCTTAAACTAACCCGCTTCTCTATTGCTATCCATATCCAAATGTATTTTCCATAACCTTAGCAATATTCATTCTCCTATTTATCTCCCCATCCAATTTCATGTTCCCCAACTCTATTCATATCTCTTACATATACTTGAAGCCCTATTAATGTTTAAATCTTTACCCGTTATTTACCATTTGCCTATACTATGTGGGTACTTATTCCTATATTTACCTTATATCTTCATCCAAGCAAATGGTTGATGATTGAGTGGGGGGGATATCCTATTGCATTTGTTTGGCCGAGGTTATTTTGCAGGCGATTGACTTGATCTAAGGAGGGGGGATAATTACGGGTAGAAGACTGGCAATTGGTAGGAATAATTAATAGACTAGTAATGTGAATCTCCCGACACATTCTTATTCTTCTGTCCCTTTCCAATCCCACACATCTACACAAATAGATATCATCCCTTCCAAGATTTTAACAACGGACAGTAAATCATAATCACACGCCGACATTCGGTACGTAGGCTACGACTAAACAGCTTTTGTCTTTTTTATAATAGATTATAAACATTAAACCCTCACACAACACACTAGTACTTCCTTCAGCGGCGTACACTCCACCGAAAACCAAAATTCGAATGTGTGGATTATAACATAATAAATAGTGTTAAGTCAATGGTTAAACGATCAAAATCAGACGAAGAAACAAATAAAAGTAATAAAAAATGAAGCACTTTCTTGACATATTATCGTTACAGATATTACATCAAGATGTTTAAGAGATGAAAATCTTCTTGATACAACAGCACCAGGTTTTACTTTGTCTTTAATCCGTAATGTGTTGAATCTTTTGGTTGGCGGTAGTCATTATAATACAGAGTTTGGTTTGGTAATTATTGCACGATCAGTTTTTTTTTCAATTCTTATTAAACAGATATGTAGAGTTACATAGTTTAAAAATAAATTTTATGATAATTGGACAAAACAAAAAAGAAAGTAGTTTTTTTAGAAGTTTATTTAATATACAATTGTAGATTTTGGCCGAGAAGGACGCTGTAAAGACATTTACAGATTTCCTCATCTCTCATAAAAACGTGCAGGTATAGTAATTTATTGATAGCATTTTTAAAATACGCACTTAGTAATTTGTTTCATTTCTATTCATAACTTACCTAATTATTTATTTTACATTTTTTTGCTTTTATTGATGAATGAAAGTGAGGCAAATACCTAAGTTTCACAATAAAATTTAATTACATAAATCCTTATTTTTTTATTACCTAATATTTTCAGATTAATGGTTATTTATTAATTTATGTCTATTGTATAAAGATTGCCTTAAGTACACATGTTATTTATTTGCCGAGATCAGAGCACAGGTTTACTTTAAGACGACTCTTTATATTCTAGTTTAACTAATTCTTGTCAAAACCCAGTTTAACTAAAGAGAGAGCAGTCAGATGTTTAATAAGTGTGTGTCTTGCTAAATCATGTACATCTGTATATTTTATCGAACGCTTTAGTTAACCTCAATAAGGTTACTACAACGTGCACACATACCTAGGTGACCTATATATGAAACACATCTGCAACCCTCGCGCCAAAGTCGGATTCCACTAATCCCTAGCTTTCTCGTCAATAGGAGTGCATTGTGTTATTTTTTGTTGTTGTCGTTTTCCAAAATTGCATAAAATATTAGTTAGACTGTCATTTCGTTGAATTATACTTACACTGATAATGTACTGATGATGCTTAACAGTGTACCTTCCTCTTCGTTTATTTCCCCGACAACAATTTGGTGTTATAATTGATTTCTATTGTCACATGACTAAATCATGATCAGCTGACTTGATATAACATTAACATCTCTTCAAATCATTAGATGTGATTGAAAAAAATAATTAATGTCAATGTTTAAAATTACAGAACTCCCAATCTAATTGGATCATTAGTAAAGTTGTTGTCATTTTATATAACATTGCCAGAAGGAAGGAAGCGAAGAAATTTTTCTCAGTAAGCAACACATACGATGTAAGTAAATGACAAAACACACTTTTTCAAACGCTGGACTAGTATAATCGTTGACTGAATCCGGGGCTCAACCAGTAGAGCACGGATGGGCACCTAAAGTTTCCCAACGGTCCCCTGTATATCAGGCGTCCTCTCATCCTTCTAATTTATTTTCTTCTGCTAGCTTAAAGGACGTTCATTAGGCCACCCGGCTATCTGACTAGTACCTGATTCAGGTTAGGGAAAGTAAAGACAGCTGAGTCAGAGCTATCCTCACTTATACTATTTTGCTACCTTACTAAACAAGTGCTCTTTACTTTCACCTTTCAACCAGCTCTTGTGTATTCATATTTTTTTTTACTAATTGTTGAATAAAATTTAACTTACATTTGAAAGTACTACATATTTTAATTTTAAATACTACAACAGACTAAGTTTATCCTTTCAAATTAACATCCTTTTATAAAATCTAATGCATGTTAATGTTCACTAGGTAATTAAAAACATGGAGTTTAAAGAAGAAGTCATATCAGAGTTTGCAACACTTCTGCTATTGTTTATAGAAGACGATTCTACCACAGATACGGAGGCAAAAAGTAATGATTTAAACTGTTTTGTGTAACATGTTAAATGGATTGTATGGATTTACTTAACTATTACACATAGTGTAAAAAATAGGCTCAAGATATTATTTGTACACATATCTGTCTTAAAGTTTATATTCTTATCATTAAATTAACACCAACGTTGATTATAAATAGCAATTAGGTTATAAACAGACTTACTTGTCTAAATTAAGTTTTTGACTTCGACAGGAATTTGTATCTTATTACCAACATTCATTTTCCCCATATAAAACTAATTTAGGAAAAAAAAATAATGTCAATAAATGTCAATACAACATAGTAATATATACTCAAGGCATTATCACTTTCGAAATGAACAATTAACCGGCAAGTGTAAAAACAAGCAAAAAATTAAATTAAACATAAAATAAACCGGGAGTGGTCTCGATTATTATTATATAACACTACGGGGGATGTCAACTCGGGATATAGGCATGATTTTTAATCCATTGCAAAAAATTGCAAACAATACGGGTATAATAGTGAAGACAAAAATTAATACTTTAAAAATGCATGTATTTTTTTTAAGGAGTCGATAACAGCGTAAGTTTATTTGCAAATTCCCACTAGTAGTGAATGAACGAGAAATAACAAAAAAATGAGGAGTTATTACTTACTACTCCCGGTCAACAGAAATTACTCAAATTTTGAAGGAAGATATAGTGGTCGGCGTGGTCGAGTCGGTAAAGCTCATGGTTGCTAAACCGAAAAGTCACGAGTTCGAACCTTCGGTCAGATGAGGCTCTTTAGCTGGGGACAGCCACTCTTCTAGGAGAGACAACTCCAAAACCTTGTAGTTTGTTCTTGGTTGAACAAAGGCTATGGAAGCAAATCCAAAAAGAAAAGCAGGCTGAAATCGGAGTCAATGGCCTCAATGGCGCATAACCAGTTGACACGTAATGCTTAATTGTGTAGGAGGCGTAGTCGAGTCGGCAAAAAGCTCATGGTTGATAAATTTGAACAAAGTCTCGATTTAAAACCCACAGGCAGATAAATCTCGATCCCCTTCAACACTTATAATTAAGAACGAAGAAGAAGAAGAAGAAGGGAGATATAAACTTGGATGTTTTATTTGCAAGTGAAATTATATTTATCCATCTCAAACAGTACTCAAGTTATAAGCTTTTGAAAAAATTGATCGTAAAATAAGTGCCACTTCTGGTTACTAGAAAGTCGATATAAAACCTATATATGAAATGTCATCCACCTAGCTTTAACGTTACTCAAGTTACCGTGTTTACAGACACACATACACACATATACACCCAGACATATGGACAAGATTGAAAAATTATGTTTTTCCGACTCAGGGAGAGGTAAAACGTCGAGATTTACACAAATCTCGATTTATTTATTTGCACGATTACAAGACTTTCTCTATACTTCGTATACGAGAGAGTAAAAAAGCAATTCAGTGTATAGGATGTGGAATTACCCAGTGTGTGGAATTACTCCAGGTTACCCTACATCGGCGTTTTAATTAATATAAATACGCTATACTTAGAATTTAGAACGTTTCTTAATACCAACTTTACCTTAGTTATCTCTTCCGTAAGAATGTTATCTTTTTAAAATACTGCATTTGTACAATGTGCGTATTAAATATGTTAAAACAGGAAAATCAAAACGTTCTTTGCAAGAAACTTTAATGCAATATGTTACAAAGAAAAAAATGCTACATGGATATTCACGATCTGAGCTGCTTCAAGGGCTGGCTAAAATCTTAGAACAAAATGACGACGAGTTGAATAAGGAAATCATAATTGTTTCTTTCTACTTTTAGCTAAGGCTGTTCAGTTTTTGCTTCAAGTGTATCCACAACTAAAAGAATCACTAACACATGCTGGTAATGCTGAACAAATATTTATGACGGAATGTTTGAGAGAACTAAGTAGAAATAAAGAGGGAAGTGAGAAAATCATCACAGACGAAGAATTAAATGACACGTTAATAGCTTTAATAAACAGCCATAATGGGGATCTTTCTGCTAACGTACATTCGATACTCTGGAGAGCTGGACGTACAACAGGAATATTGCCATCTAAAACAGGTTAATAATTATAATTGATGATTTTAGCTAGTATATTAATAATTTAATTAATATAATTTTATGATATTATAATGAATATTTATTAATTGTAGAGTGTCCGGGGTTTATTCATGATATAAATTTTTTTTTAATATCTATAGATGTTGTGCTGTCTGATGAGTTCCCCAAGAAATTTGAAATTAAACCAATGCCGTTAGGTCAAGGAGGTTTTGGTAGCGTCCATCTTGTTGTCGATATAGACCAACCAGATGATGAAAAATTTGTTGCAAAGAAAACACACGCAGATCCAAAAAACCAAAAGAAGTGGATGGTACGTAGGGGCGATCATATGATGACATGCGTTAGAAATTTGTTACGCTAAATTTTAAAATGATAAAGCAGTTATGTTACATGTAAATATGTAGCATATCATTAAAATGTCAATTCTCTAATTTTATAACATTTTATATTGAAAATTAGTCATTGTACTAACGTATTTTTAACAACTTCTCTGACATATACCATGTATTGTTCATGTATATATCTGATCACGTGCACTTGAATATTTACAAATGTACACATATTCTGTTTATTTTTTATAGGAGAGCTTACAATCAGAGGCTTCAATTTTAATTAAACTGAAACACAAAAATATCGTCCAGTTTCATGGGTATCAAATGAAAGAAAATGAAATAATCTTATTTCTGGAGTATATAAAAATGGTAAAACATTATTTCTTTATTATTATTATTATTATTTGACACTCACATAAGAAAATTAAAACTGTATTAAAATGTCAGTTGAGTTTTGCTGACAATGTTTGTGTTTTATCTCCAGGGCACCCTCTCCACGTTCATCAAACAACACACAAGACTCAATGAAGGTTTGACCAGACAGTTTACAATTCAAATTCTGGAAGGCGTGAAGTACCTACATGAAAATAATATCTTGCATTTGGACATCAAAGGTACTACAAAATAATATAATTATTTTTAATCCAAGTGCAACCATTTTAAAAAAGAACTAATTTACAGAATTTTGAGCAAATTATTTAAATTTTTAACAGGTACTAACATTCTAATGGTGGACGAATCAAGCATTAAACTTACTGACTTTGGCCTGTCGACAATACTTAACGAAGAAGAAGGAGTTGAAGCAGAAAGGGGCACAACTCGATATATGGCTCCTGAGATGATTAACTGCCCTGATGGGAGAATATTTAAACATTGTTGTAGCTTGGACATTTGGTGAGAATGTTTTATTTAAATAATACTTAAGTTAATATAGGTTTAATAAAAAATAAAAACAATTCTAAAATCTATAATGCATTTCTTGTTTTAAGAACATCCAAATGTATTATTTTTATACCTAAGCTTCACAAACAATTATTATTGTTGTCATCTTAACCTAAACAGATATGTATTCTGAACAATTTAATTTCATTGTGCACAAATATTTTTTTCTATATCCCATTTGTGTAATGTATAATATAATACATTTCAAAATTCGCCCAGGAGTGTGGGAAGTACAGTTGTTGAGATGATAACTGGATCACCACCAAACTCAACAACGACATCAGCCAATGTACTTTTTAAAATCGCTATGCTGCAGAGACCAAAGTATGAGCTGTCAATTACATCATCAAAAAACCTGCGAGATTTTTTAGAAAAGACATTTACACCTGAGGCAGAACAAAGGCCATCAGCAGAGGATTTATTGAGAGAAGACCCTTTTATAACAGGCAGTTTATAAATGATGACTATTATTGTTCAATATGTGCTTATTACTGCAAAGAATATTATTCATCTTTTTTTTGGATATAAACTTGTGTTGTTCGAGGATATGAAAATGTCGAAAACATGTAGAATAAATATTTGAATAATCCTAAAACAAGATACACCTTTTAAATACAAATGTGTATTTCAAATTAGCAATTTACAATGCACAACAATAGGTATCAATTTTTAGGATATGTCTACTGTGAGAATATATATTTATTAAACATCCTTATGAAACTATTTTAGTCATATTTTGCAACGTTAACAGAACTTGTGCAAATTTATACATTAAAATCAAAACAATAACTACATACGTGTAAAAAATTTCAATTTTTACCGTTGTGTTTCTTAATCCTAATAAAATATACTATTAGCTATTTTCATTTCACATAATATGAATGTTTAAAAGCTAAGACTTCAATCGCAGAATATTAAGAAATACACACACACACACACATATATATATATATATATATATATATATATATATATATATATATATATATATATAAATATATATATATATATAGGCCTATATGTGAAGATGTGTGACAGTGAGAAGGGAAGGGGAACGATAAAAATCGTCAACGTCATTTATGGATGACCTCGAAATCCAGAGTTATTCAAGAATAATGATCTGTCAATTACGAAAGGATAACTTTACTTTAAAAAACAAATGGTTATGTACTTTTTAATGCACTTTATGCTTACTTATGAATAAAGTAATGCATGAATTAATTTCATATTTAAGCAATCAATCTAGTTTGCAACAAATAAAGTCAAGATTATAGAAAATAGTTTTATAGAACAATTATGTATTCAAATATGAATTATTACATGGTTGAAGAGAGCAAATACAATAGCATGATGTTATACATTAAAACACATGTTTAGTTCTTGCTATAGATCATTGAATCTGCATTATAACATATATTATTTCAGCCGTTGTGGTTATACTTTGCTTATTAAAGTTATTTTGGATAGATTTTAAAAATTGTATTGTTTTCATCATATTTAGAGTTATTATGTCAGTTAAATTAAAATGTATTCACTGTTACTAAGCATTTGATATTACAAACAAGTGTCTTAACATGAATGAATGGAAATACATTTATTAAACTTTAATTTTTGTTTGCAATTATTTATAAGTACTTATTATTTTCTTCTATTTCGATAATTGTCTGCTGAATATTATTGTTGGTAAACTGCACCACAGACCGTCAGTTAAGAAATTGTAACTTCGTTTTTTTAATGTGAATATCTTTTATATTATTATGTACTTTATATGCACTTTATTCTTACTTATAATTAAACTAATATATCAAAAACAACATAATGTATCTATTTTTGAATGTATGTAAGTCAACTATAATCAATAATGTTTTATAATAATGTTATTTTCACTATGTATTATTACCTGATAAACAGAGCAAGCACTATAACATGATGTTATATACTCAAACACAAGTTATTTAGGTCTTGTTACAGATGCTTGAATTTTCTTTATTAATTATATTTTATTTCTGTCGTATTTTGTAACACAGTGTTCTTTAATATTGTTTTGGATACATTTTAAATGTATTTTTTATTTTATTTTAGAAAACATTATACCTATTCAAGTTTTGAATTTGTTCTGTCAGTTAAATTAAATTGTATTGTATGCGTTACTATCACTGTTACTAAGCATAAAACATTACAATTAAGTGTTTTAACAAAAATGATTAAAATATATTAATAAAACTTTACACTGTTTGCAATTACTTATTGCGTCTTATAACTTTCATCTATTTTCCATACATTTCAACGGAATATTAATGTAGATAAACTCTATAAAGCATCATATATTTGCATTAAAGCCGTAGCTAAACCAGAGCCAAAATCGGAGCCAAATGAACATGGACATAATTTAGTTGAACGTAATTAATAGGGGGAAAGATAAATTCTCACTCGACGTTTTAAGGTTGGAGATGGGCGGGAGATACTAAAAAAACAAAAGCAATAACTCTAAAGTAAGGCAAAACCATCATGTGTTATTTACTAGAAATGTTATAATTAAAATTATATTACTACAAAGTAAGCTTTACTTATAGAACAAAATATCTTATTACATGTAATACACTGGACTTCAGGCCTGGAAGTTAAGAGGTGTAATCTCGGACTGGAGTCTAAATGACATCCCTGAGTCCAACCACTTAATCCACCCACTGCGTCCACCCACTGAGTCCATCCCCCGAAGTCCACCCACTGAGTCCACCCACTGAGTCCACCCCCTGACTCCACCCACTGAGTCAACCAACTGAGTGAGTCCACCCACTGAGTCCACCCACTGAGTCCACCCACTGAGTCCACCCACTGACTCCACCCACTGAGTCCATCCCCCGAAGTCCACCAACTGAGTGAGTCCACCCATTGAGTCCACCCACTGAGTCCACCCACTGACTCCACCCACTGAGTCCACCCACTGAGTCCACCAACTGAGTGAGTCCACCCATTGAGTCCACCCACTGAGTCCACCCACTGAGTCCACCCACTGAGTCCATCCCCCGAAGTCCACCCACTGACACCACCCACTGAGTCCACCCACTGAGTCCACCCACTGAGTCCACCAACTGAATCCACCCACTGAGTCCACCAACTGAGTGAGTCCACCCATTGAGTCCACCCACTGAGTCCACCCACTGAGTCCACCCACTGAGTCCATCCCCCGAAGTCCACCCACTGACCCCACCCACTGAGTCCACCCACTGAGTCCACCCACTGAGTCCACCCACTGATCCCACCCACTGAGTCCACCCAATTCAAGTATAGACATATTTAAATGTAATGTATTCGTTTAAAATTACGATATATTATTCACATGTTCATTTATTCTATTTTGACATTATTAAAGTATAAATAAACTCAAGTTTTGAATTACGCCTAAATTCCATTGCCTGTACTTTGTTTTACATATCTAGAAGATCAATAAACATTAACAAAAGGGTTCCTGGTTGGGTCTGTTTACGACCACTTTAAAGTGATATACTGTTTACTTAATGATTTACATACTAAATTTAGATCAATCGATAAGCTTTACATTAGCATATACATTAAACATTTTGTTTATACAATGTCTTAAATAAAAAGTCCTTATTTGATAAAAAAAACGTTTTGTTATGCACATTCAGAATTTTTAATCCAGCTCTATACAGACACGTAGACACGTCAAGTTTTATATCACATAAATAGATATCAAGTGTTACGATTATAAAGGCGGGTAGTTTAAAAAAAAATTATACATAACAGCACTCTGACGTGAAAATTTCACGCTTAAATAAACATAACCAAATGTATGCGTCTCAGCTATCTAAACTTACAAAGTGCTATAAGCAGTCTGTCTATGTCGGTAGCTTGTTTAATATGTTTGTGTATCCGATATTATCCCAAATGTAGATATATTTAACATTTTCGGATGGTGTTTAGCTTTTAGGCACTAAATGAAGTAAAGACTTGAGTATGTTTTACATTGTAACAAATGTCCCATAAATAGCCTCATATATCAAAGCTGAAAATATAAACTGTGTTCGCCAAAGCCTGATCTTATATAAGCGACTGGTAGTCTTCAAATATTTTAATCATACTGTAAAAAATTATCCTTTAAATTGTTTTATATTTTTAAATGTAATGTAAACAACCATACATGACTGCGTGAACTACATCACAGGCGAAAAAAAAGTTTTGAAAGTAATAATAGCCCTAAACGTATCCACAGCTGTAGCCGTAGCCGTAGCCACTGCCAATGCCGTTGCCACTGCCACAAACATATGAGGGTACATCTCGTATCAATCGAACGTCAACATTCACAATCACGACAGGATACGTATATTTAGTTTCAAGTTTCTTCACACATATGGCTACACACTTACTTGATGCAAATGCACAATGTTTCTATCTTCCAGATGTTGATATCATATTTCTCACGCCATCTATACCAGACAATATATTTCTTACAATCCCTAAACGAAGTCAATCTCTCAATGGAGTCATACATGTCATACTTCCTTACACCAAGACTATCAAGACAAGGACTAACTTACACCCAATAAGCAGCAACCAGTTTCTATCCGAAGACGCCACTGTCTTTCATACGTATCTCGTTTCTATGTGTTCATTGCTCATGTGCACCAATGTTCATTAACACTAAAGTTAGGTTAGGTTAGGTTAGGTTAGGTTAGGTTAGGTTAGGTTAGGTTAGGTTAGGTTAGGTTAGGTTAGGTTAGGTTAGGTTAGGTTAGGTTAGGTTAGGTTAGGTTAGGTTAGGTTAGGTTAGGTTAGGTTAGGTTAGGTTAGGTTAGGTTAGGTTAGGCGATACTATTATCTATACCTGTACCTGTACCTGTACCTGTACCTGTACCTGTACCTGTACCTGTACCTGTACCTGTACCTGTACCTGTACCTGTACCTGTACCTGTACCTGTACCTGTACCTGTACCTGTACCTGTACCTGTACCTGTACCTGTACCTGTACATGTATCTGTACCTGTACATGTATCTATACCTCAAACTATAACTATACCTATAGCCATACCCTTACCCATACTTATTCCTATAATTATGCATTAACAAATTTGAGCATTACGTTTATTAAATTATGAAAGTACTATTCTAAACTAAAATGTCTGTGTTTTTTAGGCCAGTGTGTGATTGGTTTGGGGTGGGAGGGCGGGAAAGTTATAGCGTACCTTAAGACAAATTTACAAACCAATGAATAAACTGGTTTCGTTTCAATATTGATTAAGACCTATTGAATTCTTGCGTATGTGTTCTTATGGCAGCTCATTTTTTTTCACAAAATGAAAAATCGATTCTCTATTAATACGCTGCTTAAAGGTTTAGGCCCATATGATAATAAGTTTAAAACCTAGCCCTTATTTCATTTTAAATGAAACGTGTTGACACGCATGTAACATTTTTGTTACAATCTTTCATTCCCACTGTATATATTTGCAATTTTGTGAATGCTATTCGGTAAGTTTAGTTTTGTAAACAATGTAACTTATTTAAATTACAATATATATATATATATATATATATATATATATATATATATATATATATATATATATATATATATATATATATATATATATGTATGTGTATATATATATATATATATATATATATATATATATATATATATATATATATATATATATATATATATATATATATATATATATATATATATATATATATATGTATACACTAGCCGTCCCGGCCAGGCCTTGTACTGGCCTCTGTTATAAACTTATTAGTAAAGTAACGTGACTTGTATGTTTAATAAGCAGCATATACACGGCATTGTCCGGGTTTAGGAATTATATTTCTTTTCCAATTAAATGCCCATATACAAAATAGGCCGTCTGCACAAATTACAAACTCTATGTCTAAACTTAACCCTAACCACAACAACCAACC